CGAAAATTACGTCGGGAATTTACTGATGAAGAAACTTTCATCATTGTTGATGATGAGAAATATTTTACTTTTTCAGGTGAAGAAACGCCCGGAAATGCCGGTTTTTATTCTTCTGACAAAGAAAACATGCCGAACGAGGTCAGATTCAAATGCAAACAGAAATTTGAACCAAAAGTATTAGATTGGTTGGCGTTATCCAGCAAAGGCATGTCAACGCCATTCATTGGAGCAACCAAAGGACTGGCAGTGACTGCCGACGTCTATATTGGAAAATGTTTACCAAAAGTGTTGAAACTAATTGAGAAACATCATCTTGGCGACAAATATATCTTTTGGCCGGACTTGGCTAGTTCACACTATGCTAAAAAAACATTAGAATGGCTGAACGAACGAAAAGTGCCGTTTGTCCCAAAAGCTGCCAATCCACCAAATGTGCCCAAAGCTCGTCCGATCGAAGATTTTTGGTCGATTTTGGCTGATAAAGTGTATAATGGAGGTTGGGCGGCTACGAACCGAGACGATTTAGTCAAAAGAATCAAATCACAACTGAAAAAAATTGATCTAAACGACGTCCAGACCATGCTGGAAGGTATAAGAACAAAATTACGAAAAATTGAAGATAAAGGACCTTTTTCCATTTTGTGAATCGACAGTTTTGTTCGCCATGTGCCATTCTATTTGTATAATATACTATTTTCGCAACAAGTTAAAGACCATCGAGAAATTTGACTTTCTTCTTTGTACGGAAACTTTCGTGACAGCCGTTATAAACTTAGTGATTTTTTTCACCTGAATGTGTATATGGTACCAAGTTAGAAGAAACAACTAATCATTGCTTTTATTGCTATCCGCCATACACACCGTAACGACAGAAACTGCTGCCTAAACTAATATTTATCAAGAAGGCATCTACAAATATCTTATTGTTGAATGATATGAATATTAATCCAAAGGTATCGGTAACGATACTTGATAGAGTTAATCTGTTTATTGATCAGACAAGACGACTGGAATAATGTCAGTTTTATCGTTCATCTTTTGATCATAACGCTGATTGTTTTATGCCTGACATTTGTTAATTTGATTATAGGAACCAGTTATTGCCATTCATCGTACTATTGTTAGCTCTTCTTGAAATTGGGCATCTATAAATGCTCCGTAAAAATGCTGGCCTTTTTTCTTTGACTTTTTCTATTAAAAGTGTTTTCCTCCTTTGCAGTTTTCAGCTAAAAGCTTTTGTTCTTCGACTGTAGATGTCAAATTAGCATTACGTTCTCAAGTAACTCTTTTAAAAGTTTGTGCATTTTAGCGAAAATCTTGTATTTTTTCACTAAAATTTCGTGGTGTTCCACTAACACCTTCTGGTTTTCAGGTGAATTCTAAAAAAACGAAGCCCGTATCTGTAACTGCTCTATCTGCTGCGGGTGTACATCTCTATTAGACAGATGTCGTCGAAATTCAGCAATTGGTTTAAAGAAATATTTTTTTACGTTATTTATGTAATGCGAAATCAACGAAAACTGATATTTAATAACTCATAGATAGGCTGTTAACTGCAGATGGAAAAAATTGACTTTCAATCGGCGACAAACTGTTAAAAACAGCCGGTTAACAGTCACTGGTTTCAGAAAAAAACTGATTTCGGAAAATGTTCGAACTACAGGTTGTTAATGACACACAATAGAGTAATGATAGTCTTAAAACGAATAACATAAAACTATTCTGTTCTTGATCGTAATAAAACTATCACTTTTAGGCGTTAAAACGTTCCCATTTAAAATGTCTAAAAATGATCAAAAACTTGTGTCACTGATCTAAAAACCTTCGTTTAACAAAGGCGCGGGATGGGTTATTAATGAGTGTTTAATAAACAATTAATTAAATCGTGTTCGCTGTCATGGGATGATATAATTTATATAAGATAGTTTTTGACTTGAAATATAATCGAGTTTCATTGGGCTACTAACGTCATTCTAAAAGTGTATGCATGGTCTGAGTTTGAGCCATTAATGTAGTTTGGAAGCATATAAATGAATAGAAATGTTACTTTAACAATTATGGAGATTTTTCTTCGTCACTTTGTTTGAAAATTTTTCTTAACTTTTTGGCGGTACCCCTCGCTAAAAATAGAAAATTTTCCAGGTTATCAAGTGTGCTGAATACGAAAAAGCACTTTTCTTTAACTCTAAACAAACTTTAATTTATTTTTTTGTCGGTGATATGAAAAGAATGATGCCTCTTTATTATGTGACTTCTCGATTTTCTAATAAAATCTTTCTTGAAGCAAGGAGAGTTAATAAAAAGTATGCCATAAAAATAATTTTTATTTTTTATTTCAATTATTTTTTTCCTCCTTCTTCTAGAATCAATACTCACTATTTTGATGAATGTAATATGCATAACTATGAAGTACTTTCAAGCACTTATCAAAATAAATAAAACACATTTAGAAGTAATATTTTAAAAAGTACAAACGATATAGAAAATACACAAAAAACAATAACAACTGCCGGCCGTTTTTTTTTTTTGACGCTAAGTATAACACCCTAAGAAGTATGCGTCATTTGTTATCTGTACTACCATTTAAACACAAAACTGTGTACTCTTATCAATTATATTCTCTTTTTACCTTTTGATAGATTCTGTTGAAAAGAAATGATTCATTCGCCTAATTTAATTGAGCGTGAATTTTTACGAAAAAAATTGTACAATTCTTACATCATTTTCCATTTTGATCAATTAAAATCACTTTATTCAACTAAATATCGCTATGAAGATACATTAAACACTAAAATTCGTCATTTAGCCATTCGTTATATATTCAATAAAAATATGACAAAAACATATGATGATGATCCAGTATTCATTACATCTGATTCTCCATTAGCTAAAAAGCAATTATTTGACGATTTAACAAAAACACAAATGCTATTAGATGATGATAAAGCGAAAGAATTTATTAAACATTTAGAAATAATATTGATGCAATGTTCTAAACAAGTTAAACAGATGAATTTAGCAGATGATGATCTACCTACTATTACAGAAAATAATGAAATACGATACAAACATTTAATTTTTCAAGATTTCTCAAATTTAGCTAAAAAATTTCCAAAATATATTCATTATGCTGTTGCCTTGCAAATTCGTTATACGTATTTACATTTACAAAATCATGGTTTAGCACGTGAATTCAATCGAATGAATTTTATACCAACCGATAGTATTACAGAAGGGTTTGCCACAGCATTTGATCATTATTTTGATAAATATTGTTCTCCATTTCCAGATCTAGAAACTCCATTTGGTTCAACAGGATCGTTCTTTTCTGTTTCAACTTGGGATACAGACATTATCTATATTAATCCACCATTTGATGAAACATTGATAGAATGCACTATTAATCACGTTTATGAGCAACTAAAAGTTGAAAGGAAAAAGCGACGATACATCTTTACACTTCCTAATTGGAATCATTTTCCAGCTCTCGAACATTTAAAATTGTGCTACTGGTTAAACGAAATAAAAACTTTCAAAAAAGGACATTTAAATTTTATTAATTATTATGCAATCCATGGTGATCCTGTTGAAATTGCTCCTTGTGATATCGTTGAAATAACTCTTATGAGTAGTAAGTAGCAAAAAATATTAATAATTATTTGATGTATTTCTCACGTATAGATGGCAGTTAAAACACAAGACAAATTACATACCAAATATATCTAGTCATCCTATAATCTGATTACTCTATACTACAAAACGGGTTAGAATAAAAATGGCTACTTTCATCATTGAATAGGATCTTATTTAAATTTCATTCATGATTTATTACAAAATTTTATGAAATTTTCCTTTATATTAATCATAAAAAATTATTAAAAATTTAATTGATTTTCAAAAGTTATAAGTATTCATTCGATTTCATTTTTTTTATATACTTTTCCTCAGCATTTTCATACCATTAGCAACATCATATCTTTAACTGCATTTTGAAAACAAAACTTTTCTTTCTAAGTTTAAAAAATCAACATTTCGAAATGTTTTCATTTTATTTACGTCAAAATTCTCGATATTTCAACTTGTCACTTTCAAAGATTTCTTCGCAAGAACGAATTTGTAGATCCTAAAAAACATTTTCCGATACAACATAGAACCATACAGGCAAAAACGGATATCAGATTGGTAACTGACATAAAAATAATTCATGAAAACTGAACTTTTTTCCATGGAAATATTAATTTTTTTCTCTTGTAAAGATTAGACTTATGAAAACTGGTGAAACTATACAGCTTTCGTACAGGAGGCACCTGTATCACATACTGAATGCTCCATGCAAAACTGCCTTAGGCAAAAAATCCCAAAACAAAGTGGACTCAACTTTTGTCCTTCAATTTGTACTGTCTGAAGCAAGATCTTGGCAGTTACACTTGTTAGTTTGACCTGCACAGATATCGAACAATGGAACAAAAGACAAACAATTCGTACGCTCTCTAAGGTGTCTCATGTTTCAATAGCATAATGTTTACATGATATTTTGTACTATTATACTCTATTGGTCTTTTAATTAGACTCGGTCTATCTGATATGTTCGAATTAACATTTTTTACATTATATAATGCATGTGCGAGATGTTTTATCTTACCTTTTCAAAGTGGAATTAATAGGCGTTGCCCACATTAATTCAATGCCGACTCTCTGAGAGGAACCCTATCTTGATGGTTCTTTCGACGAAATTGATGAAAATTTTTCTTTCTCTTTGTATCGATCATTAAAGGTAGCGTACTATCTTATTGTGTGACAATATTTCAAGAATACTATTTTTTGTACAGAATTCAGAATAAACAGTATTTTGTTGAAAAATAAGACGCTTGTCTAGAAATGCAATTTCTTTGAGACTGTACAAATTGTTGTCTATTAAATATATTAGCGTATTAGAAAATATCGGTATTGATCCGTATCCATGCACGCATATTTCCATTATGTACTTAGAACTAACTCTAATAAAAAAAAACTTAGATGTCGAACTTGTAAAAATTGAAAAAAAAATTCATAAGAGTCTAAGAATATTCCAGAAGCGACGTCTGAAGATTTCTACTGTGTTCACTTATTAATTGCATCGAAAAAAAGAAACATCAATTTTGTAGTCATAAAAATGGTCATGTGGAAAACGCACTTGAAATTTTTTTGACTATTGATCGTGTCTGTAAGTTCTTCTTGCTTTTTAATTCTAACCACTAATTTACATTGAATTGTGCCTTTGTCATCATGTCAAAAAATGCATTTCATTATAGCCTTTCTTGTCTTTTTTGATAGCCGATGTGTCATAACATTCTAATCGGTGGACTAGGATCTTAGGGCAAAATAGTCGTTCTTAGTTTTGCATACTTATGAAAAAATCTCCACCGAAAAAGCGAAATATTTTCAATTTCATCCACGGATACTTTTGCACACTGTAAAAAAATAAAGTGTGCCCAAAACGCACTGAACTTGCACATCACTCTGATTCGCATTTGTGCACTTCGAACTTTTATTTACCGACAACCGCTTCTCAACTTCTTGCCGTAAATAAATATTGTTTCTCTGAAGAAATATTAACAGATGGCTCGCTCACTCTCACGTCGTGTGCTCCTTTCCGTCGCTCTCATCGACAAATATTAGATTTTCCTACTTTATTATATAAACAGGAGTATTTGAAGTATGTGTCTAGTTCGCGAAATCGTCATGTTACGCCTTCTACTTGATCCATAAACAATAAATGAGAGTATAGTACTGTTGTGTGTTGTATATTATAAAATTTATTTATAATCAAAAACATACATTTAATTGCTTATTGTCTTTTGGTTTTTGAAGATCTGATGATGTATATCGTTGGTACTGGCAGGCGTCTAAAAGCAAGATAGGGAGATGTTGATTGTTGTAGAACATGAATGAACATAAATTTTATTTTATAATAATTCCTAACTCCTTCGAAAGAAGAAAGTAAGACTTTTAAAATAGTAATAAATCTAACTTCTGAAAATTTATTAGACATACTTATAATCAAATATATAAAACTTACACGCTATTTTTACTAATATGGTATTGTACAAGTAACACCGGTAAATTTTCCAGAACATACACATCGATAATAACGTCCTTCTGGGAAACATTTACCACCATTTTTACATGGATTATCACTACAATAATCTGAAATATAAAGATAAAAGCATCAAAATATTTTTAAAAAAAAATAAATTCAATGTTTACCTTCATTTTCACAATATGCACCAGTAAATTCAGGTGTGCATGTACATTTCAAATTTCCATCAGATGTAATACTACATTTTCCATTATTTCTGCACGGATTCATTACACAAGCTATAAGAACAACAATGAGACTTATGATAAAATGAAAAACAAAATTTGTATATAATTTTTACCACTAATGTTCACTTTGCTCTCGCACACTGTCCCATTGTAACCAAACGGACAGATACATTTAAAACTATCACCATTCTCAATGCATGTACCATTGTTTTCACATGAGACGAAAATACACATTTTATTTTCTAAACAAACAGATTTTTAGCTAAATATTAATTATAAAACTTAATATCTCCTTAATCTGATACACTTTATCGTCTGAGATGATCATTTAATAGTTAAAAAATTTTTACAATTATTTACCATTAATAGACGCTACATATGGAATGAGAGCCACGACCAAACAAAATGAAATCAGTTGCAAATACATTGTTATACGTTTATGTTGTGTTCGATTTTACCGATACAGTCAATGTATTACTTTTCTTTAAAATTGTTGTTTTTTATAAAAAATACCTTGATCCTCTTTTTAAATTGAAAGATTAAGACATCATCGAATGATGTAATGTAACCTAAGGAGAGGATAAGTTAAGCATCTAAATATATACGAAAATAATGAAGGTTGGATGAATGAAATATACTGCATTCTTTTAATCGTTTTTTGTATTTTTATAGAATAGCTATTTTATGAAATATTGTATAAAAACAATTAGAAAGTGTAAAATACGATTATATGTAACAAGAGGGAAAAAATTCGAGTGATTAGATAGCAAACAGACAGTATAAGCATTAGTTTATAGTCAAGGTTTTTGAATAATCAAAATAAAAGTAAATCGAACGTAGGCATTCACCGATCATCGAATTTTTGCTCGAATGTCGATAGAATACGACAAAATGAGAAATGATCATGGAAATAACATGCTTTTGATCCTGGTTGACAAAACTTTGAAAAAAAACATGCAAAAGATGTCGGTTACGAAAAATAAATCTTTTTATGCCAAAAGTATGGAAAAGCTCACGGTAAAACGCATGTAATTTATGTTGTTTCGTCTATATGATCAGAAAACGTGGTTTAGATCTCGGAAGTTGATCCAAGTGTAGCTAAATATGTGCATGTTACATAATACAGTTGTCAAGGAAACATATCGCATCATTTGACATCCTATAAATTCTTTATAACTACATACATTTTTAATATACCGAAATGTCTCGTAGAAATTAGTTAGTAACTTCTATAATTGCTACTAATGATAATATCTGATGATTTATTTAAAGTCATAATGTTTGTACATTGCGTATGGATTCGTTCAAAACTTATTTATCAACTATATACAAATGTTCTACTACATATAAATGAATACAGGAAATATTCAATCTGCGATTATCAGTTGAAAATAAAACAATATCCGAATGGTAATTATGAAACATTTTCAAACAAATCTTCACCGTTAGACAGAGAATCTGTGGGGGTGTCTGCTCGTCTGAAAATCAAAATACTTGAAAAGTTTTCTAGGGATTTTCCAGAAGGTTTCTGGAGAACCTCTTTTATCCAAAGAGGTAATCTACTAAGCAAAGCATCGCGGTGGTATTAGTTTGATGGTTGGATGCCCTCGGCTGTCTCATAACACCTCGTACATCTTCATCGTTCTTAAGAAATGACCTCGGTTTCAATTATTTTGTTCAATTAAAATACACAGCAATGTCTGATCATTTTCAAATTGCAAATAAGAAAGTTACTTTTCAGTAAGTATAATTTTACGCCACTCATTGTTCTCCCACAAACCCACTGCACTCCCTGCTCTATAACCACCAGACCTATCAAGTCTCCAAGACAAGCGTTTCTCACCGTCGCTCTTTTCTATGTCTACACCAACGACTCGCTTCGTCTTTGATGTTGGTGAGAATCCAAATAATCGTGTAGGTGTCAAATACCAATATACATTCTGGTACTTGAATACCTTATCCAATGGGGTGTCTAAAGTCAGAATATCAGCTGGACCCATGGCAGCCAGTGCCAACGTTGTTGACTCTCTTCCACAAATAGCTCCAACAATAATGCGTTTATTTGAATACTGCTGAGCTAACTGTCGTAATTCTGCAGTTTGTGTCCGATGACTGTAAGGGTGATCATAAATAATGTGCCAATCAGGAAGCTCAGCAAGTGACACATCAAGTCCAACACCTCCATTAAACAAAGTAGAGCAACTTTCAGTCACCGTGGTAGTTGGTCTGGTGTTCAAAAGATCAGAAGCAGGTTTTGTTGATGCAACTTTGTGTGTCACTTGTTCACTACTCACACTGATCATCGAACTCCACTCTACTTGACGACCATTGACCACAATTGTTGCAGTCGATGTTTCCAGTTGATCTTTCATTTGTGCCAACTGTTGTCTCCAATGATCAAGTGTGGATTCAACATAGTTCTCTTCTTCTTTCGCAGTTCGCACTTCAGTGGACACTTTCTGGAACTGTCGCTTCACATCGTCAATGGTTGCATCGATAAGTAGATGGACTTTCTGTCGAGCTTGTTCAGCTGCATCACTGATCCTCTGTATGGTATCTGCTTCCCATGCATCGATCTTGTTTAGAGCACGAGTTCTGGTGTCAGAAGAGTGTGCTGAGGATGGCTCGAGTATTTGTTGTCGAAGAAGATCGTGGTCGTAGATGATGTGATCGAACTCGATGGATAGTTGTTGTCGATGTTCGATAAAATGCTTTTTGCAAAAGACACTTTTACAGCCAGTACAAGTGGATATGCCTTGTTCACATTGTTTACACTTGTTATGAGTGGATGAAATGTGCGCAGTCATTTGTGAGTAAGTCTAGAAGAAACAATGTATCACTCTTCTTGTCGATGTTCTACCACAGTCAAGAGGATTCTCACTCTTGTACGTCATCAAGAAAGTTTTGTACAGAAATAGATCCTGACTGCTTGCACACTGCGACTGTCTCGGATGAGTGTGTGTTCGCTGATGAGATCGGATAATAGATTAAGCGATGATTGTTCATCGTGGCACAGCTCGGCTGTTCATTCAAAGAGCGTTGCAGTATTGAAGAAACTATGGCAAATGTGTGGTGAAGACTTTTGTTGATGGCTTGGAAGAATGTGCATGTTATTAAGTAAACTTTGTTGTTTTCTTATTATTTGACTTTTCACGTGTTCGAAGAAGAAAAGAACAAAGTTACCTGTAGTGTGATGTATGAATTCCATTCTCGTCTTTCGTCTCTATAGTGTCATATAAACCTGTTTATTGATCACTTCTATAGTAAGAAAAAAGTAAGGAGTTTAATGGTGACTGTTTCTAGAGCTGAAGATGAATGGGATGTGTTTAGATTTTTTCCTTTGATCTAATCAATTATTTCGCCATAAAAAAGTTTATTTTCCGTTACTAAGATCTTCTACCTGGTTTTTCTTAAGAATTTGTCAACCAGGATCGAAAGTATGTTATTTCCGTGATCTTTTAAATTCACGTCCGACAAAATATTTTATTTTTCTTATGTGGCACGTTTTCCCAAAATAATTGCGCTTTCTAAGCTAACCGATGAGAGTTTACAATGAACTGACATAAATTCATTCATGCACCAACCATTTCAACTCAATGGATGGGTATTGATTGGTGCTGGATTGAAATTATCAACTCTTCATGAAGCTAACTCACTGAAATTTTAATTATTGCAGTTTAAAATGAAAAGTTTATCTAATAGATGTATTGATAATAAAACTTCAAAGAGAATGGTTAATCAAAGCAAAACGAATCAATTGCATAACTGTAATCGTTCGCACCACAGAGATGTCAAATCCAAAAGAAGAACATATTTTTGTTTTTCAAAAAAGTATTTAAGAATGCCTTTTATATTATCTTTGTCTTTATATATTTTTCATATTTTATGACAAATCAAATTATTCCTGCATTCATATAAAAGCAAACCTCGTGGAAAGGTTTAATCGATCGAAAAATGCGTAATTTTTGAGATAAACATGTGTACAGCCTGTCAATCGTGTTTTCTAAAAGTCCTAATTATTCATTTACTCAGTTCGAAACATGTTCTTTTGTAGCTTGAATACGTTATTTTAGAATATAAGTAAGAAAAGTCTAACAGTAAGATATAGAGAAACCTATGATTCGTAGAAAGAAAACATTTTTTACATAATACGTCTATTCAGAAATACCTTACATTTAAAAGAGCTATTTACCAAACTTTGTATTGTTTGCTATTTTTAAGAAAAATATTTGAGTTATAGAATAAGATATTTCTCAATTTTGCATGTTTCCTAATGAAAATCTATGGTTTTGACAAAACTTGAGTGACTTACGCAACCGTGGACTTTTACATAGAACAATCGTATATAAATGAGACTTCGAAAGAATAATCCGAATATGTTTTGTTCACGGCTTACCGTTCGAATAAATGAGCTGCTACGATGATACGATCAGTCACTCTAATTCAGAGTAAGGGAAAAATTTAGAATAAGAAAAGTACAACGAGGCATAAAAAAAGAACAAAAATCAAAAGGTCGAAGATCATTATCTGTTTACAGTATACGGATTTGAAGCAGTCAAATTCATGCTGTAAAATTAAAAACTCCTGTGTTCAAGGTTTCATTCGTAAGATGCACAGAAAGCAAACTTGCAGTGAAACTTATTTTCGACTTACAAAGTTGATTTTGTAATTTTTGATAGTTTTAGTTAATATTACTATAATAGATTATATTTTCCGTATATTTTGAAAACATAAGATTTAACGGATGCGACAACGTTAATGACCCTGACTTGAACCTTCTCCATTACATTGTTCAATCTCTGACTGTTTTCAAAGGATTTGTCATTAATTTCTCTATAAAAAACGTATTTAACATTTTGTTTTCTATTTTAACAATAAAATGCTATGGAAAAAATACTGCGAAGCTTGAAGCTCACTTTCTAACGTCTTTTTCAAAGAAAGGAAATTTTTTCTGAATACTTTACTGTGCATAAAACTAAGATCAAAATATATATTTCTAAGTGTACTCTCTCTTTGCGAATATATTAGGTTCTCTTTAAATCTGGTTTTATTGTAAAGAAGACGATTTTTTACTAAGATTCGCTTAAAAAATAAGCTCTTTTAACTTGGCACAGCAAAAGAAAGGAAGTTTCAAAACGTTCGCTATTTGAAGGAGAAAGAGATGTTATTTTGTTTCAAAATTCCAGCTCAATATGTTTTGATTTCGATCAAGTTAGAAAAGATTTTCTGAATAGCACGAAACTGTTGTTCAGAAATGATGATTTTTTTTTTTTTGGTATGGTTTAGAAAAGAAAAGATTTTCTCCTCAAACGCTTCTGATTTCAAAAAATACTGAATATAGCCATTTTATAGAACTTTCTAAGGGCTACAAGATAGTTGACTTCTTATTCTTATGTTTCAAAACAAAGAGGTTAGAAGATGATTGAAGTTGAGGCTCCGCAGTATTTTCCTCGTAGCCGTTTATTGTTAAAGTAGAAAACAAAATGTTCAGTACGTTTTTTGTAGAGAAATTAATGACACATCTTCTGAAAAAAGTTTAAAATTGAGCGATATAATGGAGAAGATTTATGTCAAAAATACGGAGAGGATCTTTAACGCTGCCGCATCCATTATATCAAAACAATATAGTAAAAGAATAACGGAAGTGTTTTAAAGTCTAACAGTGGAGAATATTAATTAAATTTTGACTAGCTTTCTCATGGGAGAATTTTGTGAAAGTTTGATAACATTGGAGTTGTGCAGTTGCAACATCCAATGCTTGGTCATGTGTGATCTTTCTATAATATCACACACGTTCACAAGAGAGAATTTCTTTTGACATGTTTTTACACACCATTTTACGTGTCATAAGTGAAATATATTAGTTTTCACGTCTGCTTACACACCATTTTACAATGTTCACGTTTGACCGGCAGTTCATTTCAAGATATTCATCGATGTATACGCCGTTTTATATACTAAAATTTTCCCATGGGTTTTGTATGATAAGCGCGATTACTACACATTTTATTTACTTGATTTCCTCGTATAGTAACTGAAAAAGAAAATGGCATAATACTATCAATAACGTCTTATATAAGTAGACTTTCAATATTATCTAATTTGATTAACTAGTTGATCCGAATATTAATTGAACACTCTTCTTTGTTCATTATAGAATTATTATGACTTGTTAAATCAATTTTTCTTACATGATTAATGTTCATAGTTGTCCTCGATATATGCAAACTGCATTAAATTGTTGAACGTCATTCTTATCAAATCTATTTTTCATATAGAGTCATGAATTCTATTTTCTTCTTTTCTTACTCTTTATTCGATTAAAAATACAAATTACCATACATTAGAAGAGAGAAAGAGAAAGATAAAGAGATACCATGTATTACGTCTTTTCTTTCATTTTACCCTTCTTCGATATTTTCTTGTAAATCGAGTTATACGTTCATTATTATTGTCATTTTTTTTTATCTTTTTCATTATTATATGTCACAAAACATCACTAATCTTTTTTTCTTTTTTTGGGGGGAGGCAGACTCCATAGCTTCTCACATTTGACAGCGAGAAAAGAGACATGTAATTAAAAATAAGATTTAAGACTAGAATATATGATAGACACTATTGCTCGATCAAATATGTGCTATTGTTCATTCTCTTTTTATTCCTTCATTAATATGCACTATGTAGAAAAGTTTGATTAAAATTTGATTTTTGAGCTAAACGATTTAACATCGTTTATGGCTTTAATATCCTACGAAGATGATAATGACAAGGTCGATGAGACAACTGCCCGTGCTGATATAGAATTGGTATTAAACGATTTACAACGTGTCTACATTGATTTGGGTCATCTAATTCAACAAATCGATTCAGTAACAAATCGATTTGAATCAAGCCTTCAAATTCTTAACAATAATAGTGATGGAAAAAAAAAATCACTTACACTTCCATTTCATTATAAAACGGATATGGATACCGGTGTTTGTGTTAGTATTGGACGATCAACAACTACTACTACGGCACTTGTTACACAAAAAACTAATTCAACATTTGCAATAAAAACAAATGGAGTTGCGACTATATTTCGACGATGTAGACCAAAATATTTTACTTCATCATTTCGACCGATAGAAGAGAATGATGTTGATTATTATGAACGTATTTTCGAAGAGACAATTGAATCCACATCGTCGGATTTAACGCCTGATCAATTAAAGGATTTTGTTGATGATATTCAATTTTTAAAATCCTATATTTCGTCGATAACAACTCCCATCGATCAAAATGAAGATAATTATTTATATAATTCTATTCCAAATCATAAAAGTGATACTTGCTCGTTATCAATATCAAATGAAAGTTCAACATCATCTAACAATCAAACACGGCAGAAATCAACTTTTATTCAAAATATAGAAAATAAATGTTTCAACATTGAGTCAAGAGCAACTATGTTGTAAATAAATGGTATTGTAATTGGATAAACGCATCGCAAGAAAGACTAGTACTGAGTAGAAGTATGAGTTCTTCTCAATCTCAGTAACTGTGCTACCGAATAAGGCGAGATTTTGTATAAATATAGAACTCGTCATAGGTTGATTAATCAAGAATTTTGAGCTTATATGAGTGAACGAATAGAGAAATATCTCATTTATACGATGTTCAATAAAAATGCAGATAACCTCGGAGCCACGAGTAATAATTAACTCTTTTTTAAGCAACTATGTTCGCTGTCAATGATTGAAAATTCAGATAGTAATCCATCTTATGAATAACAAGCTGGTAGGTAAAAAATAGCCATGATTTTCTAAAACTATTCGATCTAAAACTGTCATGTCTTTAAACTAATCACTTACAATGTCAAGGTTGAATATCGTACCGGCCACGGTGTAGATTATATGTGCATAGAAGTTAGTAAAATATCTCTGTTATCGCAAGTTAGAGAAGTCAACACTTACCATAATATGTGTATCATCTGTTCCACATATACAAAAAATTACCATGAGTTCTTGTTATACTTAAAATCTACCTGACACTTCAAATTTGACTCATATTAGCCTAAATGTCTTCATTTTTCGAATTACCTACAATTCAAAATACACCCAAATTGTGAAGCATAATTAATTCAACATTTAGTAACAAGTGAGAGTCACTGAATACCTAAAGCTTAAATAACCAGAATTACTATAATTCGATTATTCACTCTCGAGAATTATGAGCTAAGCATTGAGAATTACGTTACTAATCAGAAATTATATAAAATACTAACCTTCATTTTTGTTCTTAACAGATGCTGTTTTTATCAAGAACGGATCCGTTCTTGATAAAAACAAGTATTCCTATTAGATGCATATAACACTGCGCTCGAGCGCAGTGTTATATGCATCTGATAGGAATACTCCCATTTCCCATTTGAAGGCAAGTGGTGTTTTATACTGAGGCAGAAAAATATTCTTTTACAACTCGCCTACAGAATTTTATGATACTTCTGAGCAAAACTAGGTCCGAATTCGATTAGGAATCTAACTGTGCGTGATTAAAACTTTTTCTTTGTACCAAAATGTAGTTCTGATACTCTTCTATTTACGATTTGAATTTAAACAGGTAGCTGCTAATGATTACTGAAAGACAGCTATTTTACGATCGATGGCCCTGAAAATGAGGCTCTAAGACTTGAGATTCTTTCCAGAAAAGTTCGTAACTCATTCCAAGAATATCATTTCGATTCTCTCAGCAAATACTCTAGACTATCCAATCAAAGTATGAAGGTTAACCATTGTATATTTCCTAACATTTATTGAGAACGAGCACTCACTATTGAAACATACGTAGAGAAGCTAGGATGAGGAAATGAGAGTCTCTCTTTCTACCGTAGAATCCCGTTCAACCGACATCGTAATCATGAAAACTCATAATGATGAGAAACGCAGGAAAAGCTTTGTCAGGAAGAATACGTAAGCGTTTTTCACGAAAAGAGAAGGGTTTTAATAAAACTTTTTATTCAAAAATCAGTTTCAAGTATGTCAATTAATCCCGTTTCGTCAGAGTGATATTGGGACAAACTTTATGGGAAGTGAAAAGGACACAATGCGCGTGAAATGACGAGGATGAAAAGTGCGTATGTATTTTTCGGGACAACGCTTCGTCTACATTTCTCCTCACCATGGGTTTTCAAGATTAAGATCCACGTTGAATGGGGATTCGACAGTAGAAAGAGCGACTCTTATTTCCTCATCCTTGCCTCTCTACGTATGTTTTAATAGTACGTGCTCGTTCTCAATAAATGTTAGGAAATACACAATTGTTAAAAAGTTTTAATCTCTGGGATCAGGACTTATTAGCATTTTACGGAAAAGAAGCAAAAGGCTTATGTCTCACGAATCATCCAGAAAAAGAAGCCGATACTGATGGAGTAATCAGCATTCGGTAAGAGCTATGACCAAAGTCCGTAGCCATCATGATTCTTGAGTTACAGAGGTATCGCTACTTTTGCGGAGTACTGTATCCGAGCTCAAAACGCTTTGTTCACACTAAATATCAAATCTAATAAAGCATTTTGCTTGTTCTATGTGCTAAATAGGAACACCACTATTAGGAATGTATGTATTTAGGGAACTTTTTGAAAAAACATTGCTGGTCTGAAGTATGAAACCAATGGGTGATACTGGGACAAAATCTACTCGAAAATGCCTAGTACACAGTAAGCAGAAAAAGTGAATCATGCGCATTTTTGATTGTTTTTGACACAACAATATTTTCATATAAACACCTCTAACCACGTTATACGTGACACACTTTTTTTCCATGGTGACAATGGAAAGTGAGAGAGACAGTCTGCTCTTATGTAGAGACGAACCTGGATTAGTTGACAAATAGAAAATTAGTTTAAGCACCAGGATCAATAGTATCGAAAATATCTTCCATAAAAACTCATATCTTTCGTATTACGTTTATTGAAATTTTGATATATGGACTAAATTATGTTATTTTTCTCGCATACAAAACATTAGACTATCGTCCAAAAGAAAATTAAAAAAAATGATGGGTTTTTATGAGCTTACATTTTATTGAACGATAGTGATACTACTGAACATAGAATATACATTCCAATCAGAATTAAATATGCTGTTAAGATTAGAATTATCAAATTAACAGCACGGCACTTTAACTCACTGAAAATTTCGAAAAAAATCTATGGTTTTGGCATAAGTGTACACTGTAGCCCTACTTCTCATCCGAAAAATTGATTTTTTGTGAGACGTTAATGGCATGTTTAGCACATATTTCAATAGCGTATATGCTCTTGTGTTATGTGCACCACACCATCGAGGAAGTTGACAACATCACCGCTTGGGTACTACAGCGATCACGCTCTAGAAACAGTCACCATTAAACTCCTTACTTTTTTCTTACTATAGAAGTGATCAATAAACAAATTTATATGATACTATAGAGACGAAAGACGAGAACGGAACTCATACATCACACTACAGGTAACTTTATTTTTCTCGTCTTCGAATACGTGAAAACTAAGTCAAAGAATAGAAGCAAAGAAAATAACAAACTTTACTAAGCAACATGCACATTCTTTCATGCCATCAACAAGGGTGTACAGCACACGTTTGCCACAGTTTGTTCAAGAGTCGCAGTGTGCAAGCAACCAGCATCTATCTCTGTACAAGGACCTTCTTAGTGACACACAAGAGTGAGAATCCTCT